GGGCCACACCTCCCTCCATTCCACAGAGGCTTGACTGAGTGCTGGGTCAACATCACTGGGCCCCTCCAGGACTGCTGCCCAGCAGTGGGAATGTCCCCTGTTCTGCCACAGTTGTTTTCTCATGGGCCATATGGACAGTGTCCCCTCGCTGAGCACTGCTTCTGATGTCTGACATGCTCTACCTGTGTGATTCCCAGATCCCCACCCCCCTCAACACACACAGGCAAGTGCTAATACCCCTCCACATACACACACACACACACACACACACACACACACACACACACACCTTAGGGATGAAGAGACAGAGGTTCCCAGAACTGGTCAAGGCCACACAGAGGATAGACACCCAGGCTTCCTGACCCAAGTCATCACACCTCCCCCCATGCCAGACAGGAAGCTGCGCCTGCCTAGTTCCTGCTGGTGTTCAGGGATCCCCAACCTGAGGCCACTGTCCCATAGGAGGAGGCTGTGCCTGTGTCAGACCAGGAAAAGGTGCTGGGCACATAGAACCCCACAACCTCCAGAAATCAGGGGCATCCTTAAGGGTCTTTAGAACCTGAGTTCTTCGTTCTATATTGATTTAGTGTGGGTAGGATGCAGGCAGAAGGGGAGTCAAGGGAGGACTCTGAATCCACAAAGCAAAGCAGGCATGGGTGCTGTATATCTATTTTACAAAGAATTGAGGCTCTGACGGTGTGAGGAGGGGCACTGCTAGGGCCACATGGTGAGTTGCTGTTGACCTGCTCCCCAGGATCTTTCCACAGCAGCTCATCCCAATACATGTCATTCATTCATTCACACATTCATTCATTCAACAAACCCTCAGTGAGCACTGCTGTGGGCCAGAGCTGGGTGCAAGGGACAAAGACCACCTGCCCCAGAAGAGCTCATGTGCTACAAGGAGACAACTGTGGAGACTACTGCTGACCCCCACCCTCATCCTTTTTTTTTTTTTATGGCTATAAATATTTTATTTTTTTATTTATTTTTTTTAATATGAAATTTATTGTCAAATTGGTTTCCATACAACACCCAGTGCTCATCCCAACAGGTGCCCTCCTCAATGCCCATCACCCATCCTCCCCTCCCTCCCTCCCACCCCACTTCAACCCTCAGTTTGTTCTCAGTTTTTAAGAGTCTCTTATATTTTGGCTCCCTCCCTCTGTAACCTTTTTTTTTCTTCCCCTCCCTCATGGTCTTCTGTTAAGTTTCTCAGGATCCACATAAGAGTGAAAACATATGGTATCTGTCTTTCTCTGTATGACTTATTTCACTTAGCATAACACTCTCCAGTTCCATCCACGTTGCCACAAAAGGCCATATTTCATTCTTTCTCATTGCCACATAGTATTCCATTGTGTATATAAACCACAATTTCATTCATCAATTGATGGACATTTAGGCTCTTTCCATAATTTGGCTATTGTTGAAAGTGCTACTATAAACATTGGGGTACAAGTGCCCCTATGCATCAGCACTCCTGTATCCCTTGCCCACCCTCATCCTTGAGTTCCCCAGATCAGCTCCCAGCCAAGGGAGCATCTGATGCAACAGATTTTGCTCACTTAAAACTGAACCAACAGAAACATCAGCAGGATGCCTCCACCTGCCATCATGGTCCCTCACGGACCCTTAGAGCTGTCATAGTCCATTTCCCTGAAGGTCACTGACCAGGCGGGTCACACTGGGGCTGCCCTGCCCAGTTCAGAGCAGGGTCATCCCTCCCTTGAAGAAGTGACTGCCCCAGGACACCAAGCAAGCAGGTCCACACAGGATGAACGCCTCACAAAATAGAGAAGAGTAGCAGGTCGGGGGAGGGGAGCTTGGCCTGCCCCTGTCCTGTGACCTTGGGCAGCCCTCTCCCTTCTGGGCCTCCTGCCTGCTGGAGGCCTGGGCTCAAGGAGAGGACCGAGTCAGATAGGGTAAGGAGGCTGTGGCTTCCTTCTCAGACCAAAAGCCAGAGCCCAGAATAGCCTCAGGCAGGGCAGGGCAGAGGAACGCTGGGGGGAGGGGAAGAGAGGTTGCTGCTCAGGGCCCTGGGGGAGAGGAGAAGGAGGTGATAGCTTAGGGCCCTGTGGGGAGGGGAGGGAGGTGTCAGCTCTGGGCCCTGGGGGAAGGGAGGGAGGTGTCAGCTCTAGGCCCTGGGGGGAAGGGAGGGAGGTATCTTCTCTGGGCCCTGGGGAAGCCCAGGACTCCTAAGGAGCTGAGCTGCAAGACACTCCCATCTGCCCACCCCCCTGTGAGGCCTGCACAGGCATGGAGGCAGTGCTGCTCAGCCAAGCCTACACAGGGGACACCCTCATCCTTCACCCCCACAGTATTCACTGAGCCTGGCAGCACTGAGAATGGGGTCTGTCCCCAGCCTGTGTCTTCTGCGGATATGGACACCAAGAACACCCACACCCCAGCACAAAGATCCAAACCCAGGTTTCCAGCCACCTGGAAAATACAGTTTCCAGGGTGTCGAACAGTCACCTGCCCACTGTAATGCCCACTGTAATGGCTTAGTGACACATGAGACAGCACAATGACAATCCACATCTCAGAGTGGACTCTCCTTCACCCTCCTTCCCTCCCTACATATCAGCCTCTTCTCTGAGGTCCTCCATGTGGCTCTAACCTCCTCCATGTGGCTCCTGAACAGGATGTGTGGGAGGACAGGGGCCAGGTGGCAGGTGTCCCCGGCTGCACACATAGGGAGCATCTGAAACTAGCATCCACAGAGCTGGCCAGGTCTTTCCCGGACATTGTAGTGCAAAGTCCCCAGAGGCACCTTGCACAGGAAACCTTTGTGAGGACTTTCTAGGGTGATCTGGGGGAACCTCTGCTCCTATTCAGATACCTTGAGAAACTGCAGATGGCCTCAGCTGTCACAGAGGGTACTGGGGTTGGGGCAGGGCCAGTTTTTCTAAAAAGCCAGTCGATCACTTGGGACCACAACAAACCTAATTCTATTTGGGCAGGAACCCCACAAGTGACAGTCACCCCCAAAACAGAACACCTGGGTCTAGAAGGGAGTGTTGGAGGGGGGTCCTGTGTCCTGGATATTACCGGTTCAGGCCTGTATCCTGGTGTAGTTATTAATAGTCCTCCTTCCACTCCCAGAAATGTCTCAATTTAGATGATAAATTTGGTTTTTTAAGGTTTTTTGTTTTTTGTTTTTGTTTTTTTGAGAGAGAGAAAGAGAGAGAATGAGCAGGGGAGGGGCAGAGAGAGAGAGAGAGAGAGAGAATCCCAAGCAGGCTCTGCACTGTCAGGGTAGAGCCTGACACAGGGCTCAAACTCACAAACTGTGAATTCATGACCTGAGCTGAAATCAAGAGTCAGACGCTTAACTGACTGAGCCACCCAGACGCCCCTAGATGATAAGTTTTGTGAGCTCTTGTTTGCTGAATGAATGATGCTCTTTATAATGAGTTATAATTGGGGGGCAGGTGGCAGAAAGCCAACCATGAGGCCCTGCAGTCAGCTGTACCAGACATCATGCAGCACCATCAAGTGCCCAATGGGTCAGGCCTTGACAGAGGCACCACCATGGGACATGCAGCTGCCAGGATGGCCTCACCAGGGGCCATACCTGGGGGTCACCATGAGGTTCCTGGTCTCTGTGGGCCCCTCCCAGAGCCCTTGGGTGTGAGTTCACACCAGCCTAGCCCATGAGAGACCACGGTGTGACCCTGACTTTATTTCCCACCCAATGACACTATAGCATGTATGGGGACCAACAAGGGACAGGTCCTCTGGCAGCCCTTGTCTCCAGGAATCCAGTCGGTATCAGGGAGAATGTCTTGGGGAAACCAGGACAGAGACCAGGGGCAGGACTGAGTGACTTTTGTAGACAGCATCACAGAACTAGGGTCATCAGAAGCCCCTGTGTCCACTCTGGGGACAGAGTAGCTGATGGTCAGCATGACCTACCAGGGCATCCCTTTGTGGTCACACCCTCTTCCTGTGGCCATATCAACACCCTTGACTCAGCCCCAGGTCCCTCCTGCTCTTCAGTGTCCAGACCAGAGACATTTCATGTTAGGGCCAACAGCCACCGAGTCTCCACTAAGCATACGCTATGCCCAGTGCTTTGCTGATCCAGAGCCTAGACCTGCCATGCACCCTCACTGGGTCAGGCAGTTCCTGCCCACCCAGTGCCCAGCCTTCATGGGGAGGTGTTGGGGTCTCCTGACCACCCCAGGGAGGAGAAAGGAAACTGGCCAGACCCAGCCTGGCTGCCAGCAGAGGACAAAAAGGCTGCCATGGGCCAGGCAGCCAAGAGTGGCTCTGTGAGGGAAGGGATGCTGGGTCCAGGTTTGCAGGGCAGAGCAGGCTAGAGAAGGTGGGACTCCAGAGCGGCCAGGGGAACCCCATTCTCAGTTGTCCCTAGTCAGACAGGAGCTCCAACTCAGTTCCAGTGTGGACCAAGGCACAGCATGGATGAGGCCTCTGACCCAGAACAAAGTCACCTGGTCAGCATGTCTTCCCTAGATGCCTATTATGTGCAGAAACCACAGTGGGGACAAGGCAGGCACAGTCTTACTTGCAGCACTCACATTTGAGGGAGACGAAAACAAGCCTAACAGATAAGTGAATGGTGTCATACAGGAGACAGAGTTTGTGCCATGGAGAAAATAAAGTAGGGTGAAGGAGCCAGGCAGCATCTGGCCAGGGTCTCACACCCAAGCAGCTAGAGGAGGCCAGGGGGCCAGGAGGAGTCCTGACTCAGAGCCAGGTCCCTGTAGCTGTAATTGGCTGCTTGGGGCCTCAGTTTCCCCTCTGTACAGCCTGGTTGATAATAATGGAACCTCACCCCCTGGAGGGAAGGGAGGGCCAATCAGATGGAAAAGTGGATGTTTTGCTTGTCTCCGTGGTTTATTGTTGTTGCCATTATCATGGGGCTGTTCCAACCCCAGCCAGCACCTCAGGAGCCTGGCACCTTCACCCCCATGCAGCTGGCCTGGTGAAACCAAGAATCCCTGATGCCCAAAATAGCTGGGGAAACCCAAACTGGCCCCAACCCCTGCCCGAGTAGCAGGTGCCTCCTCCCCAGAGTAGGGAGGGGGTCCAGCTGCAGAAGATTCCACAAGCCCAGCTGGAGAAGGGGCCTGCATCCCATCATCAAGGCCCCCCAAGCCCCTGTGCCCAGGCCTGAGCCGGGCAGGGTTTCAGATCACGGTCAACATTCAGGAGCAGTATTCTGTTCTATGTCAATTCTGCCCCCTCCTCGGGATGCCCCATGAACCTTCCTAAGTGCCACAGATGGATGTGCCACTGGATGTGGGACACAGCCAGACTCTTGTTGCTCAGAGGAGCCCTGAGTGGTCATGGTAGCCGGGGCTAGACATGAGACACTTGGTCACGCCTGACCTGCTGCTCCCAGACCTAGAACTCTGGGGATTGGGCCGAGTAGAGGGAAGGGGGGAGAAATGTAGACCCTCACCAGTCACTACTCTGGGAGCCCAGGGTCTGGGTAGCCTAGAAGCACAGCTGTCCCTCAAGAGGCCTCATGGGGTCCTTCCCCAGTGGTCAGGACCTCAGATGGGTCAGTCACTTATATCTCTGTCCATACATCCATCTGTTTGTCTGTCCATCCATTCATCATCTATCTACCCATTCATCCATGAAGCCTCCCTGAGGCTTTCTGGGGGCCTGGCCTGTGAGGGGCTCTCAACTGCCCATGTCCCAGGAAAGGTGGGACTGGTCTAGCCAAGGTCAAAGTGAGACCTGGAAAGTACTTGCTTCACCTTTGGAAGAGGGGCTTCAGCTACCATTCACTGCCTAGTCTGGCCATGTACTGGGTGCTAGGTCTAGACACTAAGGGCAAAAGTATGACAGGCCCCCTGCCCAGTGGGCAGCCAAACTCTCCAAGCTCCCCCCACCCCCCATTACAGACCTTCTTGATCTACCCTCCAGGTTGACTTCCCCTTTTCTCCTCTCCTCCCTGTCCTTCTCCAATCAGAGATATTCCCAGGACATCCCAAGGCTCTGAGGTCTTGATAGGGATGGGGAATAGGAACCCAGGACCCCGTCACATATGCCTGGATTCACCCCCAAAGATGGCAAATCTCTTCTACCAGCTCATTCTTGGGGGGTACCACCAGTAACTCCCCCAGCCCAGGGAAGCCAGGAGCCAGGCCTACTGGCATCTGCCAGAACACCACATCACCTGACACAGGAGATGTGAAAGATCCCGTGGGCAGGCCTAGGGCGAGTGCCCCTACTGATGAGCCTGGGAGAGTGTGGCCCTCACTCCAGACATGGGCAATCACCTCATCAACACTGTTCACTCACATCACCCCCCACCTGCCCACGACAGACCCATACATGCCTGGCCCAGGTAACGTCCTGGGGGTGAAGCTAAAATGATGGACACTCATCCCTGCCCAGCCCAGAGCTTCAGTACAGATGAGACCCTCCTCCCCAACAAACATTGGTGGAGAAGACAAGGGGTGGGGGATTCTGGGTGTCTTGCACAGTAGGAAAATGGGGTCTGGTGGCAGCAGCAACTTTGGCAACCTCAAAACAGGGCCTGGGAGATAGACCCCCAGAGCTGGAAGGACAGAGGTGGGGAGGACATCCTGGGGGGTCAGCATGAGCAAAGGCACAGAGTGGGACTGCAGCACCCCTCAGCTGGTGCTCTCAGGCTCCAATGAAACACCCTGACCCTCCACCTCAAAGATCCCAGACTCCAGTCTCCCATGCTGCCTGGCCCACCATCCTGCTCCCCACCCAGAAAACCCTGGCATTCTGTGCCACATGATTGAGCCCTGACCTGGGAAGGAAAGAGAATCAGACATAGACAGTGAGCATCAGGCAGAGGAGAGGGGGCATCCAGAGGATGCTGGGAGGCAGGCCAAGGCAGGGCCAGAGAGGCATTCAGGATCTGTCCAGAGCCCTGAAGCCTAGCAGAAGCGTAGGGGTAGGGCCCTGAAGGCCTCAGCACTGACTAGATCTTCAATTCCAAAAGGCAACAAATCCCTGAGACCCTATTGAGTGGCCTGTTGTCCCTGTACCATTTACAAAACATGGTGACATGTGGTATTCAGCTGAGCCACTCAGGGATTCTGTGAGACTGACAGCCAGGATCATCATCTGATTTCACAGGTGGGAAAACTGAGGCTCAAAATGGTTAACATCACAGAGTGAGCCAGGGCCAGCTCCCATATGTCCCAACTCCCAGCCTCTCATCTGATGGGTGGAGAAACTGAGGCCAGCAGAGAACAGGGCCTGCCTGAGTTCACATAGGGGTGTTCTGTATGGAGAGCTGTCCTCTGCCAGGCACCAGATATGCTCACATGGGATAGCCTCCCTCTATCATTCTGCAGCCCCAACTCCCTTTCAGGTGTACAGAAAAGGGGCCCAAAAGTGGATGTCAGGCAGAGCCAGGGTTACAGACCCCTCGGACAGCTCCTCTGCCCCACTGCTGAGAGGAGGGAGGACCAGCAGGCTAAGGGCCTTGGGGAGACTCTGCAGTAGAAGCCCAGACCCCAGGGCTGGCAGGCAGGGCTCCCCACGCACACACAGCCATTCTCTACCCTTGACCTTGGGTGATTTGTGTCTCCTCAGTTTCCTCATCTATACAAGGGGGAGATAACTAGTCTCCCCCCAACAGGGTAGGTGTGGAGATTTAAGATGATGCCTATGATGTGCCTAACCCATGGTGCCCTTCATCAACCCCCACCTATTGCTGTCATTTCCTAGGCTCTTGCCCAGGGGATGCTGCTGACATGCTATGTGACCCCGGGCAAGTCCCTTCCCCTCTCTGGGCCCCAACTTTCCTGTCTGCTCAAGGAGAGCTGGGTGAGAAGCCCCAAGGGCCAGAACCTGTAAGAAAACTAGGATTCTGGATGAAGAGGTTGCATAGGGAGGCCCTGGACCTGCAGGGACAGTGAGGTCCAAGGTGGAAGTTAGGTTGGGGAGGGGATCTGGGCAAGGGAGGCCGAGTCATGGCCCTGCCTGCAGCTGGCCACCTACGGGAATCCCCAGGCTAAAGTTAACCCCGCGTTGGCTGAAACCAGAACTCAGGGGTAACCAAAAGAGAGAAGTAAGGGGAAGAGAAACCCAGCCTGCAGCCAGCAGGGCGTGGGACGTGTGACAAACAGGGCCAGGTGTGGCCAGGGACTAGGACAGGGGCAGTTTCAAGGCTACAGCCGGATGTTTGTGCAGCTCCCAGGTGGGGGTAGCAGAGCCCTCCCCAACCCAGCCCCCTGGAGCCCTGGCTGGTCATGGTGCTGCCCCCTGGCTGCCTCCCCGAGCTCAACTTTGAGTCCTGGAGTCCTGGAGGGCCCAGCCTCAAGGCATCTAAGAACCAGCCAGTGGTGGTCCTCCGTTGCCAGTAGGGCCCCAAGGAAGGGATAACCAGGGTCACAGAAGGAATCAGCACTGGAGGGAGCACCTGGGGACTGGAACCCCAGCCTCAGGTCCTCCCAGCAGCAGAATGAACAGATGACAGGACAAGTGGGTGAGCACAAGCATCCTGATCTCCCAAGACCCCATGATTCCAAAGGGACTCAGGGAGACACAGCCCAGCCTTTCCAGAGGAAATTCATCCCCTGTGTCCTGGCCTGTTAATGCACTTCCCTTTGACCCTAAGTCCTGCTGGTAGAGATTCATCACCAGCACAGTGCACCCTGTAGCAGCTTTCTAATAGCCATACGTTCAGACAGCCAAATTTCACAGCTCCAAATAGCCCCAGATAAGTGCTGTGGACCAATTCCATAGTGGGGAACAGTGGCACACAGGCAGATGACAAGAGAAGGTCTCATCTGAGCCCATCCTTGTGAAAAGGACATGACTGCATGCAGAGAAAAGTCTGGAAGCATACACACCAACATACTAACAGGAGTCCTCTCTGGTAGTGAGATGTTTGCTTTATTTTCCTCTTCATCCTTTTCTGTATTTTCTGATTTCTCAAAGAAAATGTGTTATTTTTATTTGTTATTTTTTTATAGTTTATTTATTTTAAGAGAGAGAGAGAGAGAGAGGAAGGGGCAGAGAGAAAGGAGAGAGAGAATCCCAAGCAGGCTCCTGCTGTGAGTAAAGAGCCCAACATGGGGCTTGATCTCACAACTATGAGATCATGACCTGAGCCAAAATCAAGAGTTGGACGCTCAGCCAACTGAGCCACCCAGGTGCCCCAAACATGTATTACTTTTATAATCAGAAAACAAAACAAGAAACTGATTAAGATCAATGATCCGCTAAAAATGGCGTATTGGAAGATTTGAACAGCATCTGAAGTCTTGAACATGATGTTATCCCAAAGAGGTCACAAGACAAGATGTGACACGTGTGAACATGTGTCTCTGTCTCTATATCCATAGTTACATCCATACCTGTATCTGTGAGCTGGGGCTACCTGTGGCTGAAACTTTAGGTAAGGTTGGTTTTCACTTTGCACATTGGACTTTTATGATTTTCTACAGTGATTATACATTTATTGTATAATTATGAAAAATGAGGTTTTCCTCACTTAAGGAAGTGTCTTTTTTTTCAACCCTTAACATCCAGCAAATATTTCTTGCTCACCTGCTACGCCCATGACCTGCCAAGTGCAGGGTTTGGGATAACATTAATGGAGAGACAGAGGGCTATTCTCTCGGGCAGTGATACAACAGGGGACATGTATATGGAAAGAGTCATTACAATACTAATGTGGACTCTTTCCCCTAAATCTCAGGTCCTGTCCACATCCACAATACTCCATTCTAGCTCCAGCTCCACTCAGGGTCAGAAAGCAGAAGGGAAGTGGCTAAGCCACTAATAAAAGAAAGAAGGTATTCTGGGAGTGGTGAATACCTACCTAGCAGCAGGCATTTGGCAAGGAAGATTAGAGGAAAGCAGTTGAAAACAGAAGAGTGAGCAATTGCAAACCAAGAGTTTAAGCAATTTCTGCAAAGAGTAATAAAAAGCTTCCTACACACAAAGCAGATTAGCGTGAGGCAAGGTCAGTCCAGAATCAGCAGATATGATGGAAAGAAGCACGTTCTGAAGCAGACAGGAATAAACTTTGAGAATTTTCCTCAGTTCCTTGGACAGGAAGAATTATCTAGTAAGCATAGGTTGGAAGACCTAGGTTGACAAACTTCTCTGCCACACAGATGACAACGTACCTTGGCAATCACTTCCTCTCCCCATGTTCTGATCCAGTCAGTATTGATCATATTAGTTGCTACCTCCTATGTCCATTAATGCAGAATGCATGAGAAATGTGCATAAATCCCTTCCCAGTATGCGTGGTTCAATGAATCACAGAAACAGGTTAGAAATTGTTACTGGAGCCTCACTCTACAGTACCTATAGTTCATTAATTCTAATCTTGTTTATGTTAGTAACATAGTAACTTGTAGATATGTCATTTCTTACATTCACAAAATCTCGAAAGAAACTCTACATTGAAGCCTACGCTGCCAGCTATCTCGTCTATAAGTAACATGTGGACAGACACTGTATCCTAACTGTTCACTCCTCACTTTCTCCACAAGTTTTTAGCCCAATTCAGTGAGTCGGGTGCTGTGACCTAGAGCCCAAAAGAATAGCAAGTCAACAGCTACCACTCCAGTCTGCCTGCTGCCTGCCTCAGCTGCCCCTTCCAGGACCCCCATTGACAAAGGGAAAGATGTGACTCCTTCCAGGTATGCACACTGTTCACCTTACTCCCAGCTTAGGGCCAGGGAGTTACAAGGCTCTCAATACACAATTCGAATGAGGGGAGCAGGAAGGAAGAGATGGATGTGTGTGCACATGATGACTGGTGATGAATGAATGGATGTGTGGATGGATAACTGATGGGTGGGTAGAGGAGTCAATGTATTGATGGGTTCTTGGGTAGGTTAGTTTTGGATGGGTGAATGGGTAGACAGATAGTGAGGTGGCTGGGAAGATCCTAACCATGAGAAACACAGAATCTTGGCCCCTGGCAGCTCTGTGCAAAGTGACTGAACCCAACATTTGGGTTCTGATGCCAACGCTGGCTTGAGTGTGACCTTGGGGCCATGACCACCTGAATGTCTTTAGGCTTTGTCCGCTCACAGGCAACAAAGATGTCGGTCAGTATCTGCCCTGCCCACCTCACCAGCTCAGCTGCTGGGAAGTCAACTAAAAGGACGGGCAGGCACGAAGGTGCTTTTGGAACTCCAAAGAGTTTCCCGGCTGTGTTCTTGGTGTGGACAGACCTTGCAGATCATCAAGCTGACTCCCTGCTGGAGGTTGGATCACAGCTTGTGAGAAGAGCCTGAGCTTGGAGCTTGGAGCCTGGAGCCCAGACAAACCTGGGTTCTAGTCCTGGCTCCACCACTTTCCAAGTACATGACCTTAAGCAGGTGACTGTCTTCTCTGTGTCCTCTTCTGTCATGTGCAGGTGATGATGATCCCTCGGGGCTGTGTGAGGATTCAGGAGGATAATTCTGGAAAGCGCTCAGCACAGCACCTGGCAGGGCTAAAATAATGGACGTGAGGTCTGCTGTCTGGAGTCACAAAAAAGAGGCTCAAATGCTCTCTCCCCACAGTAGGATGCCCTGGAGGCCTGAGGTGTTCTAGGATGTCTAACTCACGAGTTCACAAAACCCTGAAATGTTTCTGTATAAATGTGCATTGTGAGGAGAGGTCCAGGGCTTTGTGCCTGGAGGTTAACCACACCGATCCAATCTAACACCCTCATTTAGGAAAATAAGGCCAGAGGCTCACCCAAGAGCACTTGGTGAATCAGGGGATAACAAAGCACACAGGGATTCAGTCTACTATGAGAACTTCCTTGCCCAGGAGCAGGGCCCTGCCCTGGAACACAGGCCTGAGATAGTGTCACCACCACCTAGAAGCAGCGAGCACCAGGCAGAGGCTTCCAGGTCTAGGGTGGGTGGGGATAGGAATAGAAACAGCAGGGGCCACCATTTGGATGAAGCAGGGGGATTGTGGTGGAATTTCAACTTTGTTTTTAAATTCGTCTCTCAAAATTGTTCTACTCTCAGAATAACATTAAAATTGAGGGAGAGAGAGGTAGTGGCTGGTGGAAAAACAACTCGGCCCACTCCCCAGGGACCTGCAGTTCTAGTTCAGGAGCTTGTGTTAACAAAAATCAACAAAACCAGAGTTCGAAACAAAAAGCGCTGATCAAACAAGAGTGTGACGAGGCGCCGGCCAGAGGACGTGGAACGGATAATGCAGGAAGGAGATTGCTGAGCCCGGAAGAGATTTCACCCCTACTTCAGGGCCATCCTAGCAGAGAGATTCGGGCACCTCTGGGGGCCCAGACTCCAGGCCCAGGTGGACACAACAGGAAGTAGATGCGCTACAGGGACACAGGTGTCAGCTCAGCCTAAGGAAGAATCACCTTGTTTGTTATTCTAAGTTCCTCTCAAAACAGAGTTTATCAGTCTTGGTCTTCAGTTTTAAAATAATAACTGCTTACTGTAAACAACATGAAAAGCAAGAAAAACAAACAAGAGGGGAAAAACAAAACAAAACCAAACACCCCTCAAACTTCACCCAGAGGAGCCAATGCTACTATTTTGAAGGATATTTTAATCGTATTTTCATTGTAAACTGTAACAACCACAAAATAAATAAAATGCGTCTGTCTGTTTAAATAGTAATAACAGCGGTAACAGTTGCACAACATTGTGAATGTACTAGATGACCAAACTGTTCATTTTTAAATGGCGAACTCTACATGATGTGAACTTTCCATGAACTAGCCCCACAGGCTCTGACCGTGACCAGGACCTCAGGAGCCCTTGCGTTAGCCATCTCTACACTTTGTCCAATAGTTTTATGTCCTCCGGGTGCCCTTGAACCAACTGTTTGTCGGCTTCGCCTGTTTTTTAACTTCATATAGATTCAGTGAGGCTGCGTGTGTTTTCTCTCTCTCAACACTGCGTCTTTGACATCCACCCATGCTGATGAGGCTCCTTTTCACTCCCGGAGGAGCCACCACCAGGCTGTGCGCCTGGCCTCCAGAGCCAGCCCGCCACACCTCTGGAGCCCCAAGTTAGGGTTTCTCCGGGGTTCTATCGACATGCAACCCACGTTGTTTTGGTTTGTTTTGTTTTTAAAAATGGAGACAGCTTAGTTTTTTTTCTGATTACAAAAAGGAATTCAAAGATTCTTCTAAAATAAACCAGAAGAACAGCATAAAGAAGTTGCCAGCACAGCCTGGAGACTGTGGTGGTCATACGTGGAGTATGTCCTTCCAGACTTGACCTTGCATTTCACGTAGGCAACAAACAGACAATAGATGATAGATAGACACATGGAGAGCTTTTTCTTTTGTTGCTGAACAACACACCCACACAGGGGCAGGTAAACCTTGGCGTGCATCACATTTGTGAATGTGCAGCTCTAAAAGCCTGTCTCAGGACCCACCAGGTACCACAGTTTGCACAGGACACAGCCAATGCCCCTGGCCTCGACCCCCCTGCTCACATCCCACCCCTGACTTCGGGTTGACCATTGATTGCCACCTTGATCAAAGGTCGTGCCTGTCTAAGCGTCTGGAAGCATGCTACAGACTGACTTCCAGAAGGCAGCACCCCATCTCTCAGAGCCCTGAAGGCCCCCCTGGAACCTAAGGAAGGGACAGCAAGGGCAAGGACAGACAGGCACCTGAGGACACTGCCCTCCTACCTGTCCCACCCTGACTCCTGCTCTGCTCTGAGGCAGGGGGCAGAGAGGAGCTCCAGGGCTTCTTCCCAGCTCCTGGTGGCTCCTCCTCAGGAGGTCTCAGACCCCTCTCCCCGATGGTTGCTCTGTGTCTCCTTGGCAGCCCCGAGCTCCAGGTGGGAGGAGAAGCTTGGGGCTGTGAGTCGTCCTCTGGCTGTTCTGGAGGTGCTGGGAGGGTGTGAGGGCTGAGAGTCGGGGACTATGGGCCGGGGTCTGTGGGGTCTGCACATGGAGGGCTGTGGGAAGGCATGGGAGGCCCTGATGCTGGTCTCCACAGTCAGGACCCTGGGAGGGATTTGGTCTCCTCTGCCCCAGATAACACAAGGCCCCTCAGTTTCTGAGGCCAGAGACCCAAGTGTGGTCTTCCTGGGGAAGCTGCCCTTGATGTGGAGGTTGGAGGGGAAACCTCCAGCCCCAGCACCTCCAGCAGCACAGCCTGGGGCCCCCACCCTGGGGGAGGGGTCTCAAAGCCTGGGCTGTCAGGCCCATCAGGGGCCCCAGCTGCCCCAGGAACCAGAGGGGATATTGAGGGGTGTCTGTCACTGGGGAAGAGCTGGGACCTTAGAGACTGGGCTCTACCCACTCAGCTTTCACAGGAGAAACTGTGGCCTGAAGAGGGCAAAGGGCTTGCCAGGGTCACACTGTGAGCCCGGCCACCAGACTCAAAGCCAGTGCTCTCCCCCACATGGCACTCACATGCCCTTGGCCCTGAGGGGGCCCTCTCTCTGCTGGGCTCCAGGACTATGACCTGCACCCTGAAACTCAGCATCAACTACTCTGGGCTGAAAATCCCTCAGGGTCTGCAGTCAAGTCCAGAAAGTCAGCATTCTCCACTCCAGGCCTCCCAGCCTCAGGCTCCTCTCTGGTCAACAGGCCTCAGGCTGGCTTCGTTCATGCAAACCCAGTGCCTGCCTGCCTTCATCTGGGCCTGCAGAGCTGCAGCACATTCAAGGCTGAGCATCGCAGCCCAGTCTCTCAGCTTCTCACTCAAGATTCCACCAGCCAAGGTCCAGGCTCAGGGGCAACACCCACAGGGATCCCTGTGTGATCTTTCTGTAAGTAGGTCTCAGTCCCACCCTGAGCAGACAGTATCCGAGGGGGCCAGGGGAGTGGTGCCTGGTGCTTATCTGTTGTAAACATGAAGGATGCACAGTGTCTCAGAGAAAAAGCTGTCCCCTCCTACAGCCCTTCCTTCCAGGCCTCAGGGAACAGAGTGACCACACTGCCCCATACCTCACATCTCAGGTCTCTCCTAATAGGCCAGCCCCTCTGCTCTCAGCACTCTCCCAGCCCAAAGGGCTTCAGGTCCCTCCTGCAGAGAGGAGCTCAGGCGTGTCAGGAGCTGACCCCAGAAGCATGATTGCCAATTGCCGAGTGGTTGAGGGCCCAGCCAGACAGTCACGGTGCACACTGCAAAGGTGTCACCCACACGGGGGATGTCACCACCTCCCTCACTGTCTTCCATGGGCCATAAGGGAGGCATCCCAGCCACATTTCTGGTCAACGGCCCCGAGTGTCCCTGCACAATGTACCACACACACACATACTCACATTCACACTCACACAAATGCACAAGCACACACAAGTCACACCCTCACGCACATGCTCACACATCCACACACTGGTACAGGCACCAAACCTCAAGCTGACAGTGCCCTCTAGTGGCTGCTGTTGTCACTTCTCTGAAAGGTCACAGTCAAACTGGTAATAACCACAGGAATCAGAACTCCCAGATGCCCAAGTCTGGGAAGATTATTCTCTCCTTCCACAGAGGGGACTTGGCCAAGGCTATACAGAAGGTAACATTGAGCCCTGGTCCCTGACTTCCAGGCCAGTGTTCTCGCCCATGAGGCCTAGGTGCTCAGATTCCAATTCATTCCAGTTCCCAGGGTCCTGCTAGAGCCCAGAGACGGAGCCTGCTCCCAGGGGAGGGGCTGGGACTGAGGAGCTGAAGATCTCAAACCCCCACCTCCCTCACATGAAAGGTGCATGGCCCCCCGTGAGGGAAGAAGGCGCCTTGGGGAAGAGGAATTTCCAAACAATAGGGTCCCCAAGAGGGGTCTCCTCTGTGCTAGATGGGAGGGGGTGGGGAGGGAGGGGGCTGCACTTTATGGAAACACAAAAATACGAAGAATACCAACATAGACCTGCCACACAGAAGCAACACACGCTAACCTGTGGCCAACTAGCTCACTTCTTTTCCTAAGAGAAGAAAAACAATTGGTCAAGCTGGACTCCACTTTTTTCCACCCCCACCCCAAGTCCCATGCTCTCCCTACTTCCTGGAAAGAAAACAAGCACCATTCATTCCCCAGGAAGCAGCTGATCTGCTCCAAAGCCTGGCAATACTTTAGGCCCTGGGGACACGGCTGTGGCCTCAGAGACCAAGTCCCAGAGCAAAGTTCCAGTGGGTGCCAGAGGCCAGAACAAACAACACATTATGCTGTAATATGTAGTGTGATGAGTTCTTTAGGAAAAGGAAGGGGTTGAAGGGAAAGAGTGGTAACTGTTAGTTTAGATGGTCAGGAGAGGCCACCCCTGAAGGAAGTGAGAGGACCAGCCGAGGAAGATGCCTTTGGAGAAGAGTGCTCCCTGCAGAAAGAACAGTAAGTGCAAAGGCCCTGGGGTGGGATGTGCCTGACAAGTTGCTAGAACAGCAAGGAGGCCAGTGTGACCTGATCCAAGGAAGGGCAGAAGGCAGGAGAGGGAGTCAGCTGTCCCTGGGGACTTGCAGCTCATACTTAGCACCTTGTATTTTGTTCCAAGTTTTCTTTTTTCTTTTTGAGAGTGAGAGAGAGAGAGACAGAGAGAATGAGTGGAGGAGGGGCAGAGAGAGGGAAAGAGAGAGAATCCCAAGCAGGCTCCATGCTGTCAGCATAGAGCCCAACTCCAGCTCAATCTCAGGAACAGTGAGATCATGACCTGAGCCAAAATCACGAGTCAGATACTTAACTGACTGAGCCACCCAGGCGCCCCATTGGAGCAAGTTTTCAAATGTACCTGAACATCATGTTGACTTTATCCTACTCCTTCTAACTTCCTACATATAACCAAGCAGGCTCTAACCACTGAGCTCAGGGTTCAGTGTGTGACTAGACAGCATAGTACTGGCATCCTAGGCGATGGATAAACATTTGGGCAGGTCCCATTCCTCCTTCACAAACACTGGCCCAGGGAACCCCTGGACA